CCTAAATTTATTGGTTAGGATAGAACATTACCCACATGGGAATCAGCTCTAAATAACATGTTTTACCTGGTTGTAAATATGTCTCCTTCAATTTTGCAATAATTTTAGGATTGTTTGGATTGACTTATAATAGAGCTTTTTAAACGTGATATACTGAATAACGAAATAAATATGTGAGAAGGGTTTTGTCTCGACTTACGTCAACATGCTTAAAAGCGCGTTTTTGAACGGAGCTCCAAACAAAGCTCTCAGTCTCAAAATCGAATTCTCTCTTTTTAGTTTTTAATGAGACTGTCTGATCTTTTAATTTTATTGTTTGAACCCTCAGTATGATGGGTACTTTTGATGATATTTTCAAAGGATTATAGTTTACTTAGACGCTTATTGTCTTGGCCTGGGTGCGGATCTTGAAATGAATGAACGTATGTGGTTCATGCATTGTGAAGAATGGTGTTAGAATATGTTGGACGTATGAATGATTGTCTACAATTTGGCCTCAAGCTTGCCTTAAGCCTAATGGGGGGAAGTTCTTATGTTTGGGATCCTAATTTTTATCTTGCGAATACTATTGAAATGATTTGCAAAACGGGAGTACCGGTTATGTGTGGAGAAACTAAGTAGAGGGGATATAGACATTTCAAATTCGAGTTTGTAGTGATCCACATGGTGTATTCACACAAAGGATTAATTATTGGAACGATATCTTGGTTTTGGGTTGGGGGTGGTACAAGAGACTATTCTATTCAGTATGATTGTTTTGGGGAATTCAGGCTATTCCGTGCCCGAAGGTTAGGGTCGGGCTTTGGCCCCAACTGGAAACATTTTTAAAATATATAAAAAATTATTCAATTCACTCAAAGAATAGAATATTATTAGCATAATTTAAAATAAATTTCTTAATATTAATGTTCTTGACCAACCTAAAGATTAGTCTCAAACTTGAAAATGGTGGGAGGATTTCTGAGTTATACTAAAAAAAAATTTTAAAAACCGTATCAGGATCAGGATCAAAGTAGTAACTAGTTTAAAATTTATATATATTTAAAAATTATTCTACAATTTTACATAATAATTTGGAAAATGGTTTGAAATTTCGAAAAGGTTAAAAAATTAATCAAAGTATGAAGAAAAAATATAATATCAAACATACTAATTTCACAGTTGTTTTTTAAAGAGGTATTTGTCCTTTACTTTTATACAATTTGGAGTTTGATCCGTTATTTTAAAAAGTATACATTTGATCATCTAACTTTAAAATTGTTATGCTTAAAGAGTTAAATGTAACCTCCATGGTTATTTGAAAATCAAACTTACAATGTTTTGTTAGTGTTCGAGAATATTTTATCAACATTTAAGGTATCAATATCTTCTTTTTTTTTTCAAAACAATTTTAGGTTTAAAAGGCTAAAAGTATATTTTTTAAAGTTAAAGGACTAAATTAAAACTCTTTATAAAATTAAAAGACAAATTTATACTATAAACATTTAAAAAATAAATGTATGTTAGGCTTGTGCCGAGCAGGGTTTATCCCTCGCCCAAATTACCTGTATAATTTTTTACAAAAGTAGGGCCTACCGGGCTATGAAGCCAGTTTCACACTTCACAGCCTTGCTAGATTTCTTTCATAACAGATGCAAAGGCTTGGAAAGAAAAGGGAGAAAAAGAGTCAATTAATGCCTTATGGAAGTGAACAAAATCTTATCCCAGGTCATAGCATTTGTTAGATTTATTTCAATCCGATTCGGTTCCATAGGCACGGTTGGTACCGAAGTTTCAAACCTAGAGGGAGAGCATGCGACTTTGGCCAACATGGTTAGGTGGGAATTGTGGTTAGTAGCCTGCAGCAATCAATGTAGTTAGCTTCTGACTTTAATTTCAGCCTTGGTCCCATCTCTCCTGTTCATTACTTCCTATAATCTCCCTTCCATTAATCGGTCTCTCCTCTCATTCTCATTATATGCTGCATTCAGTCTTTCATATAAAGATAAGACTATAAAAATGTTATATTAAGAATCAAAGGCAGTATTAGAATCGATCATTAGTATAGAACTATTTTGACATTTAATTTGATTTTAATATAAGATCTCAATTTATTTTTTCTCTTATATTTATTCATTTTTTCCCCTAAGGTAGTCCTTGTGTGCACATTTTAAAGTTTTATTAATTAGTAGTTTTAAATAATACACATGATTAATAAGAGTATTTTACGAAAGACAAGACCTATTTATTACAAATAACTAATTTAACTAACTCTTTTAATGTACTCAGATTAATTAACTAGCTCTTATATTAATGATTGAAGATGTTATAGCCTAACTTTCAACATATTCCATCTACTTCTTTATATAAGATACAAATAACCGTTGGCAAAAAAGTAAAAATAACTAAATTATGTAGATTAAAAGGTTACTTAAAATTAGTTAAAAATAATGGTATATATGCAAAAAAAAAAACCAACTTATGTTCAAAAACACCTTTACTTAGAGAGAGTGAGTGAATAGACAAATCACACAATGAAACTGACAAAAATGAAAAATGATATTTTATTCAATCTTTAATGTAAGAGTTATTTAACTTATTTAAATAAAGAAGTCAAATAAATTAGTTAAAACAAATGTGTCATGATCTCCTTAAAATATCTACACATACCATTAAATTGTATATTAGTTTATAATTTAGATAAATTAGTTTAAAGAAAAATAATAAATGAGAGACAAATAGATTGGGCTCTTTCACAAAAAAAAAGGATTACACTCTTATATTTAAGATCAAATCTAACTTTCAACTAATTCTTATATTAGAGACAAGAATGACAATGAGAGTTGGCCCAATTGATAAAAAATCAACTCATAACCTACAATGTTACGAGTTTAAATCTTCCTGTTGATATACGAATCTTGTTAGTAAGTAATCTATAAGTATATTTATAAATGCTCTTTAGTTTGGAGGCAGGATTTTAACTGATGAACCTCACTCGCTTAAATTTTTGTGTGTGAAAAAAAAAGAGCAAAAAGATACGAGTGATTGCTAAAAATTTCAGATCAGTTAGTGTCTCCTGTACAAGAACGGAGGGAGTACTAGCATTATTACTAGACGAGCGAAGGAATCTGAACCATAAACCCAAAATTCCATTGAAGAAAATTGTCTATACTATTTTAGGAATAAAAGGGTACGAGAATTCGATTCATTTCATTTTCTTTTCTAGGTTCTGCACGAAAATCGATTCCCTTTCTTGTAATTATCTTATTCCAATTTTCTTTAATTGATGATATATTCTCTCGAACTTGGAATTCAATTGATGATTTGAGTTCTCTTTGATGTTAGGTTTCTGAACAATTTATTATTTCATCAATCATTATTTCGGACTTAGAGATTTGGCATAATTGGTAGATGTTATCCTCTCGAATTTATTCCCAGTTCGGTCTTACGTATGATTCCCATTTGAACCTATCCAAACACACACTTTTATGCCAGTATTTTCATATTTTCTTTTGTATAATATACACACGCAATTATTTAATATTAGTAAATTAAATTTGGGCTATTTTGATTACAGTAAATTTCTAAGCATGATCAATTTGTTCAGTTTATAAAATTTTGGACTCTCAATCATATAGTTGGCAAAAAAAAACCCTCAATCATATCTAATAATCTAGTAGTAGTAGTATCGTATTAGTGGTGGTGGTGGTAGTGATAGTAATAATAGAATTCCTTCTATTTAATTCAGTAAGCCTCCACTTTTTTAGCCCTTCTCTTCACTTGTAATTCACATAAATGTAGGAAACAATGATCCATTTGAATATGATTTAAAATTTTAAATAGCGCAATGTTTTGGGGTCCAGCCACAATGCGGCATGCGTTGAAAATAAATAGAGATAGTTAATGTCATTAGTTAGCATTAACTACCCCTTTAAATTCATAATTCATAGTATCAAAAAACAATGCAAATTCCTTATAAAAATAATGCAAATATATTTCATTATGTAAAATATATGTTACTCACACGGACTCTTCCTCTTCTTATCATACAGCTAAACTTAAATTAAGAGTTATTTGACTTTTATTTTAGTTTTAAATATAAGATCTCAATTTATTTTATCTCTTATATTTATTCGTTTTTTTAGTAGTCTTTATATAATAGTAGTTTTAGCCAATACATTTGATTCGCATGGATATTTTAAGAAAAACAACACATATTTCTTATAAATAACTAATTTAATTAGTTTTTAATCTATTCAAATTAATTAATTAGTCTTTATATCAAGGATCGGAGATAGTATTTATAAGGTGGATCAGATATCAAACTGAAAAAGTCGTCTAGGAATTTAAATCTTAAATCCAACTTGAGTCAATCATAAAAATGATCATTCGTTCTAAATCAAGCCGTCAGAGAGTCTGGTGACAACGCAATCGGTTGATCTCTGCCGTTTAGTCGAAGCGATAAAACCTAAAAATTTCAAACATCATGGATAAAAAAAATCCACAAATAATTATTCTAACTAGAATAGAACTAGCAATTTGAGTCGTTGGATGACATCAATGACCATGTAACTTTGCATAAAAATTCTCTTTACTTTTACTCAGCATTACTTAAATTTCATTTACTTTCCTATAATAATATTTAAGTTAAGAGGACTTATGAAACACGAAGATACTGATAAGTTTGAATAATTCTGTTTTACAACAACATTGATAGTTTTAAAAAAAATAATCTTTAGTCTCTCAAATTTATTTTCATTTTAGTTTTAGTCCCTCAATTTTTAAATTATGAAGTAAATAGTCTAAGTATTTATTAAATTATTATATTCGGTCCCATTTTCCTGAGTTCCGTGGCAACATCACGCGAAATTACCAAACTACGCATTCCTGTCTTATTCGTCAAATGATAGTATTTATCGTAAATAATATGAAGCCTCAGGGCATTTTGATTCGAATTCTCTGCTCTGGCTATTCATTTCACTTCTTTACACTTCTTTATTATTCTGGCCTTTCAACTTCAATAGTCCGATTCTCTGTAGTATTACTCTCCACTCTCTGTGACTCTTCCTTGGGAAACGCTTTTGATTTACTCACCGATTTGGTGCTTCAAGTATCTCTGTTGGTTGATTCATATTTTTTCTTCGATCGGAACCGCTTCTCGCCGATCACGCATCTTCCCTGATTTTGGAGTCATTTGTAAGCGATTGCCCTTTCCTTAAATTTGGTTTTAGTTTTGTTTTGGTTTTGTTTTTCACTGGCGGTTATGGTTTCTGTTTTTGAATTTGGCCTTCGGAATTCGGTTGTGGTTGGTTTTAGGGTTTTGATTTGTCTGGGTGGGATGAAGATCGAGCAATTGGACGATGTGGATTCGGATGGCTGTCGGAGCAAAGGGAATTACGAGAGGCAGATTGTGAGTGTTGATGCAAAGAGGGCGTTGGTTGGAGCAGGTGCCCGGATCTTGTTTTACCCGACACTTTTGTATAATGTGCTTCGAAACAAGATTGAAGCAGAGTTCCGGTGGTGGGATGAAGTCGATGAGGTTTTGCTGTCACTGATGCTATTATTCTTTTCTTTTATCGTTGATACAGATTCTCCTTTCTAACCAAACGATTTTTGAAACCCCTTTCTATGGTTTTGCTGCGTGAATTTTCTTAGTTCTTGACAAAATTTATAATTTTAGTTTGTGCTTAGAGGGGTTAATTGTCGATCAACTTCAATTTTTTATTGCAGACAACCATGAAATGGTGGTTTAATTTGGGTTTATTTTGTGATCGGTCATTGAAAATTAATAAGAAATGACAGGTCTACACTTTCGTTTTCTGATTGTGAATCGAAGGCTAGGGAATAGGGTGCTGCAAACTTTAAACGCATTCCTGTTTTTGATCCTCAAAAGAATTTTTCTTAAATTTTTGAAATCCAATTTCGACATTTAAAAAAAAAAACCATTCTTTTGATGTACTGTATTGAGTTCTTCCTGATAGGAATGATGAGATCAAGAAGCTCGGCTGCTGTTGTTTATTTTCCTCTGGGTCGTTATCGGTGGTTCTCTGTGTTTTGCTTGGTGGAAAATCATTCAAACAGTGTTATTAATTTCCTCAGTTTTTCTTTCTAGTTTCTATTATTGGGAGCGGTTCCATTCCCCAAAGACGTTCCCCGCTTGAAGAAGCTTGGTGTGGGTGCTGTAATTACTCTAAACGAACCTTATGAAACCTTGGTTCCTTCATCTTTATATCTTGTAAGCGTTAGTCCATTTTTCTTCTACTGTATTTTTTTGCGTATTATGCTATATTTATGTAATATAAAAAGCTTGCTTACTGAGTATTAAAGAGTTGTGAAATTTCGCATATCCAAGGAATATATTATGTGTAAAATGGATACAATATGCCTTAATCTGCACAAACAAGAACAGTGGCCATAATCTCTTGAGTATATATCTTATAAATAGAAATGCTAATGTTTTATTGAAAATTTGTTTCAGGCACATGGGATCGATCATTTGGTTATCCCTACAAGGGATTATCTCTTTGCCCCTTCATTTGTTGATATATCTCGAGCTGTGCAATTCATTCATCGTGAGTTCTTTTTCCCCTTCCTTTAGGGTTTGTTTTAATTTCAACTATTATTGATTTCATTGTTTGATTGGACATATTCCATTGCCTTATAAATTCTTTTCTTTTGGTCTTAGAGAATGCAACATGCGGCAAGACTACTTATGTTCACTGTAAAGCTGGGCGGGGCAGGAGTACAACAATTGTCCTATGCTATTTGGTAATTTGATCTTAGAGTTACACTTGTGGCTCTGGTTGAAGCATAAAGGCATCAATAATTGTCCTCATGGTCCACTAATGTCTTGCAGATTGAATACAAGCTTATGACACCTCTTGCTGCCCTGGAATATGTACGGTCAAGAAGACCTAGAGTTCTATTAGCACCCTCACAGTGGAAGGTACAAGTTCGTTTATTATTGTAATTTTTTCATTTACAGTATTTTTTGACGTTTTTTCATTTCAAAATAATTTTTTGCATGGATACAATTATATTGAGCAGGCTGTTCAGAATTATAGCAAGCGCAGACCTTGTCCTAGGCCACACTCTCCCCCAGGTGATGCAGTTCTTATAACCAAAGCTGATCTTGAGGGTTACCACAATACATTCGATGCTCGTATGGAGCTGGCCATTGTTCCCAAAGGGCCAAAGACAAAGTCTAAGCCCATGATATCGAAGCTATCTTGCCTGTTTGCATCATTAAAAGTTTCTGGTTATGGCATACCAGTGACCCGGCGGCTGCCTGTGTCTGAGGCACGTGCTTGCTAAGCTAGCTTGTCATGAATATACATATACAGATGGTGGCCTGTGCAGAAGAAGATCATGGAAATAAGTGATATTTGATCACACGCATCCCACCAAGTCGGAACACAACTGTGACATGAAAAGAGGTCGTATAGGAAGAAAGATAGGAGTTCTGGAGAAACGACTTGTAGTTCTGCTTGTACATAGATCAGTGATCGCATTTTGTCATAAGTTATTCTGTTTTGTTCAGTGAATGTATCTGTTACATGTTTGTCAATCCAAGTGAAATCCTTGTGACATTAATGTGCAATTGGGACAATTTCTCATGTCCTGGTCTAACTATAGAATTTTATACCTTGGCAGAAGATCTCTGCCCATACTTGCTGGTCAAGTATGGAAGTCAAGATATTCAAGAATATAATTTGAGGAGAGTAACCACGAGCCTTCATCAGCTTTCATAATGTGACAGCAGACTTAGGATGAAAGCAAGAGCATACAAGAAACTGTGTTCCCCCTGAAGCAGTATGGTGACATCTTGATGCGGATGGCTTGGTGAACTAAAGAGGTGAAGCTACTTGTGGAGGCATGTTCTGAGATGAAGATAGATGGTGGACAAGTGGTTTCATGAGGAAACTGTGATGTTTACCCTATACTTCAGCCAAAATGATAGAAGATCTGCAGAGCCTGAGGATTCCTCGGACACAAGGTTATAAGAAAGTTATGTTTGTAGGTATTCAATCAAGGCTTTTGAATTAATCAAGAAGGAACAAGCTGAAGAAAAACCTCGGTTGATAAATCTCATCGATGAGGAAAGAGATTAATCATGCCTGACTAAACTGTGACTTAGAAGCAATATATTTAGAGTGACTAGAGCGTTAGCTATGAGCATAGAAGAAGCTCATGTTCGTGTTGATTGGTTGGTGGAACGGGCCTATACTTTGTAAACCATGTTTTGAGAGTGGGATTTTGATGTGCTTTTTTTTTTTTAAATTACCCGGCAAGCCAGCGGCTTGATAGAAAAGAAAACTAAATCCTAAGAAAAACCAGATTTGACTTTAAGAGATGTTCTCCTTATCCATTCTCTGCAGGTCCCTGCACGTCTCTGGTGCCTGAGGCAAAAAGGATTTTGAGGTGCTTTGATACGTATCAAGAGCACCATGGAGTACTACTTGATCTTCGTACACCGTTTGGTCTAGAGTCTTGACTGTCTGGCGTTGGAAAGATTTAGCAAACACTGTTGTTTTATTTTGTCTCTTAGATTTATAATTTTATCAAATTGTTCCTATTAATTGTACGTAGTAAATATTTCTATTAAAGAATAGTTATGATATAATATATGATTTGAAAGGTTATTCTGAGAAAATTAGCACGTATTTATTATAAATAATTAGTTAAATTAATTTTTATAATACTACTTTTAGTTCTTAGCATAAGAGTTAGTTAGTTAATTTGAGTAGATTAAGAAAGTTTGTTAAGTTAGTCATTTGTAATAATTAGGTGTTTTTTTTTTAAATATTCTTGTTAATTATGTACTACCTCTGGTTCTAATTATAAGATCTTATTTTTAATTTACAAACAAGGTCTTATAATTAAGACTAGGGTTAGTATTTGCTAAAATTACCGTTTGATTGAATCTTTAGTATATGTAACTACTACAATGACTACTTTAAAAAAATTGATAAATATAAAAGACAAAACGGATTGGGATTTTATATTTAAAACAAAATTAAAAGTTAAACTATCTCTTATATTAAAAAACAAAGGTAGTATTTGTAATTGATTCTTATATTAGGGATTTTTTTTTAAAGAAAATTTTAGACAGGGTTTGGGTTCAACCTAGGCCAAGTGTCATGAAGAGGATTTGAACCCCTTTCTTTTTAGGTGAGATGGTGTATTTCTTACCGCTAAACTCACGGGTAATGAGTTCTTTAAGAAAATATTGAGGATGGAGTATATTGACAGTCAAAAAAGAAAAAATTGAGTATATTGTTACTGCTCTAGGCGATTCTGTATTATGGACTAGCCCATTATCAGTCTGGGACAAAAAGGTGAACAAGGCGGAAGAAAGGGTAAACTATTACTGGCTTCCTTATGATGGCAGATGAAGTCCAATTCCCTCTCTAAGCCCATAACAGGTATTAAATGGGCAAGCCAATCCTTTAACTTTGGGTAGTGTAAACTATGAGAAACTAAATGCAGCTCTGGTCCACAAGTTGATAAAGTCCAAACTCAATAATGGGGCCTAAGCAAAAGATAAGAGAAAAGCTAGCCTCGTTCAATGAAACCAACGAAATTGAATCTAGTACAAAAAAAATTAGTCCTTTATAACATAATAAACTAATGTTTCAATTTTTATTAAAAGAAGTGTTCACATTTAGTGACTGACAGTGTCTTGAATAAGATGTTTAACCCATTGATTTCACTATCCCATAAATTTGTGAACACGAACGAGCAATAATTATGATTATAGGGCTCATCATGGCAACAAATACTGAAGTTTTTGAGGTGACTAGTAACCTCAGTGAAGTCACATTAAGGGGGAATCAGGAACTCTTCTCCACACATATATCATGTAGCGCGTCAGTCAAAAGCAAACATAAATTTGGTATAATGTGTGTCCATACTATAGGAATATAGGATAGAGGGGTGGTTGAAGAGAAACACTAAAAGACAAAAAAAGTGGTGGGGCCCTAAAAAATGAAAGAAGGGGCCAAGGATGGGGCCCATGTGGAAGAATCGGGAAAAGGCTGAGAGGCATGTTGTTATATTCCTGCTTGCACCATCCTCCATTCCTCCTGCCTCTCCTTTATGCCACCAAATCTCTCTGCCTTACCCACAAAACCCTAATCCCTCCCTTATTCTCTCTCTCTCTCTCTTCCAAAATCTTGCACAAAGTGAAAGAACTGAATATCACCTTTTTAGGGGTTTCCTTTAAATTTTAAAAGCTCAAACACACCCCTACTCTTCTTCCATATAAATCATATTTATATATTTCATCCTTAACCATTATGTGTATTATTGCCTTTCTAACTTTGTTTATTTTTGAATATATCACTGCTGACAAGATTCTCCCACCACTTGACAGCAAGAGATCCAAAGTTGGCTCCATTTTTGTTTAGTTTGCATAACACTTGCAATTCAAACTAATTAATTTCACTACCCACAGACACACACGCCATGATGTGTGTGTGTGTGTGTGTGATAGGTACCTATCTGTAGCAATGAAGTGTGAGTTAGGTATGGAGGAACTGGGACAAAGGGATGCTATTCATTTGAAAAAGAAAAAATAAATATATTATTGGAAAAAAAAAAGGAAGGTAAAAAGTTATTCTTGTCTTCTCATTGATCCCTTTATTCGGCCTTGTGAAGCTAGCATGAAGCTGCCCCTTCTGCTGCTTCTCTTTTCCTCCTCCTCCTCCTTTATTGCATGCATGTCCCGTGAAAAAGATACCCCACGTTCTCTCTCTCTCTGTGTGATGCCATGAGCTCCTCTTTACTCTAATAATAATAATGCGGAAGAAAAGCTCGAATCTATAACGGAGAATAAAGCAATAAAGAAAGTTTCTGTCTGCTATATAGTTTTATATTCCTCTTCTAAACCTGAGCAAAAGGATGACCAAATTAAAACTCTTTATGTTTTGCCTACATATAAAATCAAAGACTTCAATATGTTTCAGTCTGAAATTTAAACTTTGGCTCCATCTTTTCCTTCTTGTTCAAACACACACATTCGATTCGACTCTTTTGCCATTCATATTCAAACTTGCAGAGAATTTCTGAGAAAGTAAAATTTCTTTTCTTGGAGAAAGAATCATATATCGCTTATATAGTAAAGATATATGAGAAATTTAACTGGAGAGATATAGAATTATTAGGTCATCGCATCATCAAAGTAATAACATTAATGGGAAAATCAATGCTTAGTTGATACTTGAATAACAGTTCATCAAGTCCGGCTTATGATGTTGTCAACTTTTAATTGCGTTTATATATTGTTCACAGGTCCTTATATAAGATATAATTAACTAATTTGAGTAGATTAATGATGCTAGTTAAATTGGTTAACATGATATATTTTTTCTAAAACACCCTGATCATTTTTCTAATTTTCTCTTCCATTCCTATCCTACTTGATTATTATGAAGCGAATATGTTAATTTGGAAAAAAATTATAAACATATAATATATATTATAATATATGACTAATATCAACTATCAAATTAGGTTCCACATTACTAGAGGAGTACATTATAACACTACAAACTCAGTAGATTATCATCTACTTGATATATACTATTGAAATTTATACATGCGAAGAAGAGTTTCTGAGAGACTATTCCTTTTTTAAGTTGCACATCAACTTTAATTTAAATATCATCGTCATAGTAAAAAACATAAAATGATAATTTAATTCGTTTTGAGGAGGCTAACTTAAGCTTGAAAAATGTAATAACCTTATATTTAATAGCATGAAATCCTTTTTACAAGTGAGGGTCACATGTTTGATCTTGCTTTGTAATCTTAAACCTTTAATTAGTGTATGCACCTCTAGATTTAAAAAAAAAAAAGGAAAAAAAAAGAGAAATTTAACTGGAGAGATATAGAATTATTAGGTCATCGCATCATCAAAGTAATAACATTAATGGGAAATCAATGCTTAGTTGATACTTGAATAACAGTTCATCAAGTCCGGCTTATGATGTTGTCAACTTTTAATTGCGTTTATATATTGTTCACAGGTCCTTATATAAGATATAATTAACTAATTTGAGTAGATTAATGATGCTAGTTAAATTGGTTAACATGATACTCCTCGGTCTTAATATAAGCATTTACCATTGATAATTAAGGAAGTTAGGTAAATTAGTTAATTAAAAAATACCATAATCATCTTTCTTAATCCCCATCTCCCTCTTCTACTTGATTATGGTTGGGGGAGTATCCATATGGGTAATTTAGAGAAAATTAAAAAATATGAGAAATGGGTCTTATATTTAGGACCAAAACCAACTCAAGAATTGGATCCTATATTAAGGACCGGAGGAGTATATTTTTTCTAAAACACCCTGATCATTTTTCTTAATTTTCTCCCTCCATTCCTATCCTACTTGATTATTATGAAGCGAATATGATTAATTTGGAAAAAATTAATAAACATATAAACAGATATTATATATAGGACTAATATCAACTATCAAATTAGATTCCACATTACTAGAGGAGTACATTATAACACTACAAACTCAGTAGATTATCATCTACTTGATATATACTATTGAAATTTATACATGCGAAGAAGAGTTTCTGAGAGACTATTCCTTTTTTAAGTTGCACATCAACTTTAATTTAAATATCATCGTCAATAGTAAAAACATAAAAATGATAATTTAATTCGTTTTTGAGGAGGCTAACTTAAGCTTGAAAAATGTAATAACCTTATAATTTAATAGCATGAAATCTTTTTTACAAGTGAAGGGTCACATGTTTGATCTTGCTTTGTAATCTTAAACCTTTAATTAGTGTATGCACCTCTAGATTTAAAAAAAAAAAGGAAAAAAAAAGAAAGCTTAACCATGAATAAATTCTTATATTTGGTCCGTTTGAGGCTATAACCTCAACGTATGAGTACTTAAAATAATTCTAAAGGAGAAAGATAAAGCCATACGAATACTTTAAAAAATGTGAAAAGAAATGGAAAGTACTGAAGCCCCAACGTGGTGACGAACTCTTCGGAAGGTTTTACATTGGACAAATTGCATTAATTCATTATTTAATTGTTATAACAAAATAAAAGATCGATTACATAAGCTAATATATTAAGTACAGCACATATAATAACTGAATGGTTTGCATTTTGCACAAACTCATTGGTGTGTATGTTTCTGGTATACCAAAAAAAAAGATAGAGAAGAAATTATACAAACTTCTTAAAAATAATTAAACAATGTGAGAAATAAAATAAAATAAATATGATGATCTAATAATAACATTGTTAATTTCCATGCAGGTTTGGGTCTTTGGTTCTCCCTTGTGTGTGTGTGTCAGGAGGGTGAGAGAGAGAGAGAGAGAGCAGCCTTTCTTGGTTTCTCTTTTTTTCTTTTCTTTTTCTCTTTGTCCTTCTTTTCTTTGATTTTCATTCTTTAAACTTTAATTTGTTCTTTCTCTCTTTCTGCCCAACTTGTTCCGTTGAGAGACACCCAATGAGAAAATTAAAGAACCAAAACAAAAAAAACAGTATAATTTCTTGGCCTTTAGCTAGATTTTTTAAAATGAAAAAAAAAAACCCTTGTGCAAGCTAGGCTTCATCAAGTATTGATGATGATCATAATGTTGTCTCTATTTGTTTATTTTTCTATTATTTTCTTTCCCTCTTGATTTCTAACCATGATGATGAGGATGACCTGGATTATCAGAATCAGGCCAGTATGAACATGAAGAGTACTTCAACCATTCTGCTTCTTGTTGATAATGTGAAATAGATGACTCCTGCAAATTAAAACAAGTGATATTAGGTTTTAGGGTTTTATATGTAAATATGCCTCAAGAAGAAGATCATAAAGAAGGACTTATGGAAAGAGAACAAATCAAATTAAAGTAAGGGAAAAAAGCTTCTTATAGCCTTTAATAATATACTAAATGTTTATTAATTATTATAATGATTAAGGTTGGATATATTTAATTTGACTGCTTGTTTTCTTCCATTCTCTTTTCTCATTCTCCATATAATGTGGGTACTATTATGACACTCAGTCTGAATTCTGAATTAGAGAGATGAGTCAAAAAGTTTGCGCATGTGTGTGTGTGTGTGTGGGTGTGTGTGGATACCTCTTTAGAATTAGTTGAAGTGCATCCCATAATGAGTTCCTCCAAGCCAGACGCAGACCTTCCTTCCGGTTTATGATGTTGTTGCTGCCATGAGTGTAGAATGTACACAATTATTTATTACCCATTTCATAAAAGTTACCCAAAAGTTTAAATTAGTTACACACTTATTCATCAAAGCACAAAAACAATCAAATTCAAAACTACACACATAGATCTTAATCATCGTGTTTCAGCGACATTAAATTAAATAAAAAAGTGAACCAGCCCGCAGACTCAGTCCATTTTCTCTCATACTGGTGAAAACTGATCGGAAAAATACACACACACACACACACACACACACACAAACCATTAAAGTCACACGGTTCAAAAGTCATGCTTTGCGAAATATATATGGCCTTCTAGTCTCAATAATAATATAAAAAGATAAGCATGTCCGAGAAGTAATTGGGTTATGTCAATGATATATATATTTAGTCTGTGATACAATTTATACTGTTGCTTGAATTAATTTTTAGGTTTCTTATAACATACAAGAGCCAGGCAAGGTGGCTAATGAGTGATATAAAATGATACTACTTTGATCTATTTATAAGTTACTTCCGATATATTTCATACAGAACAAGAAAGATTTTAAATTTTATTAACTTTTATTTAAAATTTAATTACTTTCCAATTTTATTCCTATTTAATCTATATTATACCTCATGTAAGCAAAATCAATATAATAATAAAGGTAAAATTGAACATTCATATAAAAAATTTCTCTCAGTGTCCTATAAATAGAACCAAAAAATATCTTCTAAATAGGATAAGAGGAGTAACAAACAAGCAAATAATGGGATTTGCTGTGATTAAGATTACCTGGAAATGATCGTTTTGGAGCATTAATCTGGTGACATCATCAAGGATGATGGAGGTGTGATGTGGAGGAGGAGGTGGAGAGATGATGGAAGAAATAGGATGTGAAGGCCTACTGATATGAAATGCTGAATTTGCAGTAATCTGATGTTGTTCTTGTTGTTGTTGAAGATGATGATGATGATAATTCCCTACTTCTGCTGATGAACCTGAAGCTTGCACCACTTCTCTTCCTCTTGAAGCATCTCCAATTCCCACCTGCAAATTTCACACTTTTCTTTCAGATCCATCACGGTCATATTAAGATCTATTAGCTAGTTAGGCCTAGCTAGCTAGCTAGTTACTCCATTCTTATTCTCATCTCTAGATATAATTGGCTCTAGCCATATAGCTATCAACTTTACGTTAATTTCCAAATAATGTTACTTAAGCTCTAAGATTAAGATTTATGTGAAAAGAAAAGGAAATAAAGACAAACATCTTTATTTAGAGACACTTTCAGGTTAACATTTCAGTTGAAATATTTCAGTTTGACAAATGGGTTTAAAAGAAGTGGTGGTTAGTTGACGCTGATATATGATCTCAAATCAGGTGCTTGTATCTCTCTGTCACCACCTACACTAAGACTCAAGCTGTTCACCTTTAGAGTGATATATATACATATATATAGATATAGATACACCAATTCCAAACTAACAACATAGATATATATGTATATATAGGTACCTCGTCGAAGCTTTTTCTGAATGGGATGAAGCTGAAATGGTCAGATTTGAGGTGTTGATGATGAATATCCAAAGCAGTGAAGGACGTTAATGGAGGAACAGCAACAGTAGAGACGTCATGATCTCTATGAGAGTGATGAGTAGTGACTATTTCTTTTGAAGAACAACTCCCACTTGTGCTTTCTCTTCTACTATTACTGTTCGGCTCTCCGCTCGCTTCGCCGGTCGTCGCGCTTCTCTCCGACCAGTTATTATTATTATTAATATTTGCATTAACAATATTGTTGTTGGTGGTGTTGCATTGTCTGGGCTGTGTCTGAAAGAATATTTTGGAGACGACAAGTTCGCCTTCTTTCTCTTCTTCATGTTGCCCCAAATGGTACTGATGCATAACCCAATTGGTCTTCTCAGGCTTTCTGTTCTTGCCAAAGTTGGTGTACAGTACGAGGATTTTCTTACAACCTTTTTGCTTGCCATTCACAAGAACTGGTCTGGTTTTTCCGGTCTTGTGCCATCTGGTTTCTCCTCCTTGTAAGTCACTCTCGTTCTGGATTTTCCTTCTCTTTCTCGTCCCTGTCGTATATGCCTTCGATGGCCTGTGAAAAAAGTGCCTGCTCAACCCATCCCTCGTTACTCCTGCAATAATAATATTTTCTCAAGTGTTTGATTTGAACTAGAAAAGTAGATCTATATATATATATATATATATAGACACACACACACACACACACTGGGAGTTTGTCGGGATGGGTATAGCAAATTCCATCTTCTCCTTCGATGGTGGGAATGAACTCATCGATGAGAGGGTGAGATTTCATGTGCTTGGATTCAACTTTGGCTTCGAGGTGTTCAATGAGTTCTTGGTCCGTGGGATCGAATTTAACTCCTGCTGGTAGACCCACCCAGTCCTGCGGATGATGAACACACAGATTCAAATCATTCAAAAAGCAAAGCCAAAAAGAAATTAAAGAGCGGGTGTGCAAAATGGAATTATTTAAGCTTTAGTAGTAACAACAAACACAAGACTAAACTACTTTAATAATTAATAGCACTATATGTGTGTGATTCTATTAGTTGATATGTATGGATATAATTAAAGCAGGCTTGTGGTTGAAGGGAAGAATAATAGTAAAGCATACTGACTGGTTTGGATTGAAACTTGTGTCCGCAAGCAGGACACTGCTTGGATCCACACAACTGATGCTCCTCCAGCTTGGCGTCTATCAGATCAGAGTTGTTCTTCAAACTGCTCATCCTTCGCCAAGCATATCCCACTTTTCTCTCTTCTTTCTTTCCTCAGACAGATCACCACTGCCAATTCCACCACAAACTACTTAATAATATATATATATATAAAACAATATATACCCGCACCTCTCTTCTGGGTTTGATTTGCCCAATCACTTTAATCCTATATATATGTGTGCGTAAGTTTATATCAAGAAACACATATGCTTCAGCTGATGATGTGTATAGTGATTCGATTCAGAAAGTAGACATGTTCGCCTGATCAATAAACAAAGAAGAAGCGGAAGAAGCAGCGGAGGAGGAGGAGGAGGAGGAAGAAGAAGAAGAAGAAGGTGAAGATTTATGAACTGAAAGTGATTGTGAATGTTAATTATTAAGAAGCGAGAGAAAGAAAGGAGATGAGAATATTTTACCTAGAGGGATTAGAAGAGAGAGAGAGAAGAGAAGAAACTGTAGTAGTGAGAGCAAGAGAGAGAGGGGATGAGGCATAAACCAGCAAGAAGCAGCTTTAACTATCAGAAACCCATCTCCAGTACTCTACTTTAACTCTCAAGCCTCTACACACACACACACAAAAAAAAAAACAAAATATTAAAAGCAAAAGTTGGGTCTACCAAGCTGCTTCAGCGCGCACACCTTTAACACCCTCGGTAACTTGAGAAGCCATCCCATGTTATGTATGAAGGCGGTTTCTAGTAGAAAGGGGCAAACCATTAATAATCGCAAAATCCTAACCATAGATACCAAAACGACATCGTCTCATGATATATATGTAATAAGATACAAGTTGAAATCTTAATTGAAGCAGATTAAAGATGTATGTATAGTGTGTTGAATTTGTACACAAAAAAACTGTGTACATTAGAGGTATCGTCAAGCATAACTCCTTTTGCGATGCATGGATATTCTCTTATATATTAGATGTATTGTCAAGTACTAAATGTGGATATTTCTCATAATAGAAATTCAAATATTGATATCCAATTCCTGTTTTTTTTTTTTTTAATTCTGTCCTTCTATTATTGTAGGACGCAGAGGATCAATGTCTTGATTTTCTTCAAAGCTTCATCCCTCTCATATTCCTCTATCTACATTTAACCTTGAAGCCCCTAATTAAGGAAAAATTTGAGAAGCTAATCCCATGTTATGTATGTAGGTGGTCTCTAGTAGGGGAGGGGGGGGGGAGACAAACCAATGATCGCGAAAATCCAACCAAAAGTATCAAGACGACATCGTCTCACTTAATTAATCCAATAAATAATATATCAAAATTAACAATAAGAGATATTTGATAAAATAGACGGTCAAGATCTTGTCAATAAAAGTATATCAGAGAATTATGAGTGGTGGTACTAAATCTATGTACAAAATTCAAACTGATTTTTCTTGGTTTCATCTATCTATTAATTACAGCACATAGAAAATCAGGGTTTTATGCGTTATTCCTGATCCTCTCGATTTGTTATTATGGTATTCAGAGCATTAGGGTTCGGTTTTCCTAATTCTCTCTCTACCTCTCTATCATAAGGTTTAAATCTCTACAAGAAGATATGTCTACATTTAGTATCAGACAGTATTTCGAATAGGATTGTTTCCAAAAAAAGAGATACTTATGCCTAGTGAAAAAAAATCAAGGTCTGGATTTTCCTAAATCATAACCCCCTGGCCTCCTACCTTTAATACATGACTTGGTAAAGCAGAAAAGGAAGAAAACCCACCTTTTCAAAAAAGCATAGTAACTCATTAATACTTACCATAGTTAGTTTCTTCTGTAACTTTTATGAAACGAATTTTAAGATATTAAAACAAACAGCCAATCGATGGCCTCTTGTGACCTAGTGACATGAATATCCTTTATAAATAATGTGAGAGATCACGAGTTTAGTCCTGCTATATATTATAATCGCAAATAATTAGTGTCCATCTGTTTAGTTCAAAAGGAAAAAAAAAACAAGCTTCTCAATTATTTATAATATTATGTATATTGCATATCTATAATAGTGGAAAAAAGGGATGATAGAAAATCACATGGGTTAGGAGGAGGAGTGTTGAATCATGATTGTTGGTTTGAGCATGAATGAATAAAATGAATTGTGTGGAGAGTATGTTGCTTGATTATCAAGGCAAATGAGCAGTGTCCTTGATGGACCACCCCACGCTCCCCACCCCCTTCTTCTTCTCTCTTCTCATCTAATCACCATTCATATCTTATTGTTATACTATAATCAGTAAAATATTATTTATTATTCACACCACAGTTGCCTAATTGGTCAGCACATAAAATAATAATAATAATAATGGACTATTATTATTTCTTCACAACACCTTTTTTTATTACGTCAACTTTTGGCTTGTGTCGGTAAGATTTGCTGTTTTTTATTGATAAAAAATAAATGGAATTAGACAAGTCAGTGTCTTGAGCTTATCTCTCAGAAAAATGCTTATACTAAACAAAATCATTATATTATTAGGAAAAAAATCCTTACATCACAAGCATATTTAAAATTGGAAAAATCTAAACAAAAAATTGATCGTTGAATTTTAAAATTCTAAATTAATATTAATTATTATATTCTTAAAGAAAATTACTACACTCGAAAAACAAATAACAATATATTTTTGTAGTAATTTCTGATTTGAAATTTTAAAATTCATTAATCATTTTTTTATAGAATTTTCCCTTTAAAATTTTAAATTCAACGAATCAAATTTTATCGGGTTAAATCACTTTTTATTTATTTTCTTTTTAAGTATTTCTATTCAAGGATTGTTTTGAGTAGTGATTGCTCACTGGCAGACAAATTATGTAGGATACATAGAAAGAACAAAGTAGAAGACTGACAGCACCAAGTGGGGTCCACCTTCAAAATCTATGGGTCCCATCATAGATCTCAATCAGACGATGGTTAGGTTTCACGTTTCTAACAATCTTCAGCGCAGTCGAGGGCCATGAATAGATATACGATAAATAAAAAGATAAGAAAGGTCTTCCTAAAGATGTTCCTTCGCCGGCCTTGTAATCTACTATTACTTACTTTCTATTCTTAATACAAAACTTGGTTTAATTTTAATTTTAAATATAAAATTTTAATTTATTTTATCTCTCATATTTATATATATTTTTAAAATAGTCCATATAATAATAGTAATTATAATCAATACATTTTATTAGTAAGGATATTTTAGGAAAGACAATACTTATTTATTATGAATAACTAATTTAACTTATTTTTTTAATCTATTCAAATTAGTCAACTAACTTTTATATTTAGGACTAGAGGTAGTTGTATGTAAGTTTTTTTTATAAGTGGGAGGTTGTTTGTAACTTCAGGACGTCAATACCTGTTCCTTTAATTAAAAAAAAAAAAGTTCCTTCCCAATGCATTCTAATTTTATTTATAAGGAATTTTTAATGATATTTTTTTGATATAAATAAATCTTATATCTTATTAGTATTGAAATAAATTTAACAATTTTATGACTTTATCTTTATTTATGTACTTTATCTAGTTCTAAATATAAAATTTAATTTGTAGTATAATTAATTAAATATTATATTTAAGACCAAAAGTACGAAATATATACCTTTAAAAAAATAACAATATAAATTATCATAAAATAAAATTAAAATAATATATTCATATTAAAAATTAAAAAATGTGACTTACAAAATATGATAAAAAGATTTCTTTCTACCTCATAAAAAGAATTAAAAGAATATAATATTTTCTCATAATTAATTTATAGGTATTTAAAAATTAGTTAAAATTAGTTAAGTTAATTATTTAAAACAAGTCCAACATTTATTGGTTTTCGGAAATTTTTTTAAATTGTTACTCAAACAATAATTTGTTAACATATATAATCAATAGAAATAATTTAAAAAATTGAAGGGACATTGAGGGACTAAAATCAAAATAAAAATAAATTTAAAGGACCAAAGTTTGTATTAGCTCTCTAAAAAATTAGAACTTTGATAATTAAATTATATTAAAGCGTTATACTTACGATTAAAATAAACCTGACAAGTAAGTCAGGACAGGACCGGGGAATAGTAGGTTTGGGCAATAGAGTTTAGTTACCAGTTTAATTAATAAAAGTCTCTATATGTTGGCCAAAAAAAAAAACAAACAAAATTCTATATATGTGGGTGGAAATGTGTCTCCACACAAATTCAACAACCATGTTACGGCCCTTTTCAAAAGAGGAAGTGATATGTCCGGCGTTTGACTTTGAAGGATGAAATAAGAAATCTCTGATGAGGCCCTTCAATTTCAAAAGAGGCTGATGAATCATGAATCCGTGTTTAATTTGAATTCCCAAGGAAAAGAAACATGGAATTACTGCATTAATCCGGTTGGGTTAAGGAATAAGGAAACACCTTTTAAATAAAATGTTTTGATTTCGAATTTGCAAATAAAAATTTACATAATATTTTTTTTGACAATTTAAGTCTGACTTAACTTTAAATTTAAATTAATCAATAATAAAAAATATTTAATAATTTTATTTAAAAAATAAAAACAGAAATAATAAAAGAAAGGTTTTATTTAAAATGATTTTTACTTGACATATTTTAAATTAAAAATTAATATGTTAATACTTAGATGCTGAGTCGTCATTTTGAAATCACTAAGTCAATATTTTCTGTTTGTCGGGTTAATCGCGTTAAGTTTAAAAGAATAAAAATATGCATTTCAAATTTAAAAGACTAAACTAAAATTCAGTATAAACTTAAAGAATTAAACGTATATTTTATCTAAATTATTTTTTTTATCAAACTATGGATATGAAATTCTGATAAAAAAAATGAGAAAGAAAAAACGTAGAGGATCTAGATTCTAATATTTTGAACTAATAGTCATAGTTTTTCCTAGCCTTGCGTATTATTTGTTATTCTCGTTTTTTAAAAAAGTTAATTACAAGGCCATACCGAAACCATACCATCAAGACTTACAAGTTTTTCTTTGTTTGCTAATTCAATTTCTACCGTTGATATTCTATTTTTTTGGCCAGCGATATTATGTTAATTTAATCGAGACATCTAATTTTTCTCTATTATTGGTTAATTCATTTTCATTCTTTGATATTTTGTTTTACACACACACATATAGAGCTGCAATATCTGAGAATGATAGGATATTGCCTATACATCATATAGAAAATTCCTGAGGAATTTGCCTTTTATATATCTTTAGGGTATATCTAAGAGAAATTTGGACCAAGCAAAGAACCTACAAAAGCAATTCAATTTATAAAAACCTCATCTTACAGAATTGTTCTCAGCAATATAATCTCACAAAAATAACAGAAAGAAAAAGACAACAAAAAGAATCAAACTTCTTTTATTATTTATTTTATTTTATATTAGCCGATCTTTAATTTGACTAATCAAAGCATGGAGCCCACAAAAATTCATACAGTTCCGTCTTTATCAATCATAAATATTCCTGGGTTTATAAATAATTTTTGTTGTCACCGTACCCATTAATAGTTGGTAATATAATACAGTTCCGAGGAATATTAGTGCTAGTAATAAAATGCAATTTATATACATTCTAATCCTAATATTCCCAAATGCTCTTTTATATTTTCTGCATAATTCTTTTTTTACGAATAGTTTTAAGACAGTACAATTTTCGGGTACGGTTTTTATGTATATTCTAGAGAACAAAGGAAGATTTCAGGCAGATTTGAACATTATTATTATTATTATGCAATATTGCAGCTTTACTTGTAGTGGAATATAATATCATCTCTTGCATTATTGGTGTATCTAATTGAATAATTATCAACTTGTGAAAAATTCGTATCCCCCCAAAAATAGTTGTCTGCATCATTATGAATTTAAACAAAATAAAACCGATCCACAAAGGGGATCATTAGGGTCCTCATTAGTAGATAAATACGAATTAGTTATGCTAATTGGGATTAAGACAATTTTGCAAAGCATCAATGGAGGTATCAAGATAAATCGTTACATAACAAAAAAGTTATAAACTGTGTGGATAATTTAAAATATTAGGATGAAAGCTTAGGTGATAGAATTCACTTGCATATCTATTATTGGAATTTGGAACCATTAAAGTTTCCATGACAATTAATTTGTTAAATGTCTTTGTAAAAATAGTCAGATTATTTGCTTTGAATAATTGAAGGAAAGGGCGGATCCTACATTGTTAAGCAAGTCCTGTCCCCCCCCCCACCCCACCAAAAAAAGAAAAAAGAAAAATCTTGTTATCAATATCAAATATAAAATCGACAGCAAATTTTATTATTTACAGGTTGCAAATAATCTGGTTTGTTTTTTAAAAATTGGTGTGATAAGGGGAAAATGTATCTTAGTTAAAGAGATTATTGAAAGGAAACTAGACCCGAAAATTTTCACAAGAAAGCCTCTCTCTTTGGGTTTTTTTTTTTTTTTCCCTGTCTAAGAGGTGGGTATTGATGACTAGAGATTACAAATGGAATTGAATCTGCAACCTCGCATTTATAGGAAAGCATTTCATGCCAATAAGTTACAACAAGCTAGGCAAATTTCACAAGAACTTCGAATTAAAAGAAAGAGAGCTATTAAGTCTTGTGAAATTTAAAGTGATTTGGTTCTCATAAAATGCGAGAGTGTTTTATTTTAAAAGTGATTATGAGGGTTTGTAAAACAGGCACTCTTAGATAGATTCAAATTCTTGAAACATGAAGTTGTTAAATCGGGTCCACTTTTGGATTAGATTGGGAATGAATGAGTGAAGAGAGGTTGCTTGGGAGGTAGAATTCTTTGGTGGGTGAAAGGAAGGGCAGAAGACCATATTGAGATATTAAGCACTCAATGAATGATTTTTAGTTGAGGGAATGGAATGAAGGAAGTGTATAAAACTGGGCAACGAAATGAAAGTGGAGGCACAAGAGAATGAAACAGATATGGGTAAGTACACAGTTGGCTTGACTCCTCCCAAGAGAATGAAGTGTACAAAATTTGAAGTTAGTTTATCTAATTACATTTTCCTTGGACTTTACTCCTCAACATATTTGTTTTGACCAATTCCTATTGTTCCTGAAACACCATGCAATTCAGTCTCATCAGAGAAATGGAACAATGACGATATTCTCAATCCATCTACAAAGCAGCCACTGCAAGTAAAAATTTTGGCATGGTTGGCAGGAAAATCAGATATGAAGATTTTAACAAAAATGATTAAAACGTACATTCAGTTAGTAAGATTAGGTAAGGATTATCTTAAGGATGAGGGATAACAGGATAAATCAGAGATACTTTTTTTTTTTCTTTTTTCTTTTTTTCAGTTGGGAATTTAGCTGGGAACCACGATAAATCAGATACGGTTGAAATAGGTTTTTCGTTCAGGCCCAAACCTTTCCCGGGGCGCTGGTTGCTGAAACTGCATTAGATTTGACAAAGGAGCACCAAAGGTTGACTAAACTTGTTTTGGCACTGAGACAGAGCATTACTGCATAATACTCTTTTTATCCTAAATGCAAAAGTTAAATGACTGATTTATATAAATTAAAAGGGCTAGTTTAATTAGTTATGTGTAGGAAATATATCTTATTTATATTGATTACAACCCCTAATGAAAAAGCCATTTAACAAGTGCAAATAATATTTATAATTTGAATGGCAAATCATAAATTTGCTCACAAAGTAAATTGAAATTTTACATTTAAGGTCAAAACATCCCTTCGCCTGCTCCTACACATCGAAGACACCAAGCCTTGTGGGGAACAGCTTAGTCCAATATTTTTGTTCTTTCAGCCCCCAAAGTTCCAATTGGAATTGCTCATATTATTCAATGGTTTACAGGCCGTTTCAATTGCATGGAATTCTTGTTATTTTACGAGTGACTCGTGAATTCCCTACATTTCAAGGACATGTACACGAGACAGACATTTGTGGTATCTATTCCGAACATATGATCAGAATGAGAAAATTTTCAATCCAATTAAAGTTAGAACAGGCTTATATGCAACTTGCGCATCTGGAAGAGGCTGCCACTGAGTCGAGCATTCCTGCTTTTCCATGTCATTTTCCAAAGGATCAAAGACAGAATCATTATGAGGCTTTAATCCTTGCAAAAACGAAACAAAAATCAAAATGACTGCTTCGACATATGAATTCAGTTCCGTTGAGTTCAACATCGAAACATGTAATTGACGACCCATTCAGGTCAATGAATTATGTACCCAACAAAAAAAATTAGGTATACGCAGATGCTGATAGTTCACTCATTAATTATTGGCTGCAAGATTTAGAATTTGAACTTAATTTTACACCATACAAGATTGCATGTTAAGCCTCCAAATGTGATGGGATAAAAGCCATCTCATTTTGAATGGAACTTGCGGCTTACGGAGTCGTAGCTCGGAACATATAAAACTGCAAAAACATGGGAAGACAATATTAACTTCCAAGAAGGTGAAAAGCAATCACGTAGGGTTTATGGTGGACAATGAATTACCGTCTCCCTGTGATGCCATTGTGAGCGGGGAAGAAATGAGCTTTTGAGAAATTGAGGTTATATCCTTCAGAGTTACTTCGTCAACTGCCTTCAAGAAGCTCTCCACAGGTTTCCTAAACGGGGAAACGCACTTCTTAGTGTTAATTATAAAACCAACAGGTTTCTCTCCTTTTTTTTCACCTTTCTTTTGAAATGTCAATAGGTAAGCGAATGTTAAAGTTGTGGATAAAGATGAAAAAAAACAATAAACAAAACTAATAGGGCGTCATGACAATGTCAGGAAATCAAGCCTCTACAAATCAACCCGTCTCATTCAAACTACTACTATACACTGATCAATGTCAATGGTTGATTCTTTCTATAGGGACAATATCATAATGTTCATGATTAATTTTCAGTTTCTAGATCCTAAGGCGGAAAGTAATTTGCTGCAAGTAGTATTCATGTTAGAAAGTTGATCTGCAACTTGCTAAGATACTAAGATACACCAAGATAAGTGCATGAAAAGCAAGAAAGAAATAACAATAATACAGCATTTCAATAAATTAATTTAGTAATTTAGTGATAGCTTCAAATTAATAGGGACTTTAGATTGACAAAGTTCAGCCATACCTCTCGCCATATGTCAAAACCTGTCTTCCTATATCTTCTGAAGCAACCATCTGAATATGGAGGTAAGCAAATATTATTAGCATGGTCTATAGAAAGTTAACACGTCTCCAATTATCGGAATGGATATCTGACATAAGCATACTTACTCTTGATTCCAAATTCATCAAAATTGCAGATTTGGTAGCCTGCTTAGCACGATCCAGCTGTGCCTGGTCAACTGAATAGGAGTCCAAAACATGAGTAAATGGCTACCAATTCAAATTTGAAAATCAAGAAGCCAACCCAAGTATGATTCAGATCCTGATTGCATACCTTTTCCAGCTGTAGCAACAGCAAGAAGCTCATTTGCCGTTATATCAATTGCTTGTGAAACAAAATCAGAACCCTGAAAAGAAAGGTGAATATGTTCACAGATGATATTTAACAATCATAACAATGTTACCAATACATGTAAAGACTTGCAAAGGAAGAAAAGAACCTTTCAGCCATGGTATAGATACAGTGCTTGTGCATATATACTTTTAGTTAACAGGAAGAAAGTACAATTTTGAATTAAAATGCGAGGGAGTGGCCAAAAGAAAAGAATTAACATGGGGCAGAGACCAAGGTAGTACGGTTTTCTAAATCTTTGTCTCATGGGGATGCAGAGACAAAGCCAGCATGGAAACTTTCATCATTATGTAACATCTACAAATTATTAAACAAAAGCTTTTTTAGAGGGGGATCAAATTTTCATCAAGAGGCAGCTAGAATTTAGTCTAGAGCACTTTTGAAGTATTTTCATGTAGGGATTTCAAGGAGAAGGCTAAGGGATCAATGGAGAACCGCATCATAACCAATCAGTCCATACTTTTTCTTCCTGTTACTTTTGAACCGATGATGTTTTGGGATTTCAGAACTGTGTTTATTGTTTATTTCATCAGGGGTGGGAAAGCTAACCTGTATTTTTGTTTCATCAATCTTTAGGTTTGAATTCCATTTCCATAATTTGAACTCCCATCATTTTTGTCTTGCTTGCATTTTATCTATATGATTGGCAACCAGATAATTAGTTTTGGGATGTGGGTGATAGACTGAGAGGTGAAGGATAGACTTAGAACTAGGAACATAAACATAATGAGTTTAGGCCACACATATAGCTTAATCTATATCATTAGTGTCAATAATTGATCACAATATACTTAGAATATATTACGATTGTAATTATTAATGTAAGAGTAAAAATTTAGGTTCATAATTAGTTTCCCAAGCAGATTAACCCCGGCTCCCTATTTGTGGGTTCGGCCTTGGAATACTTCAATATATTACTAGGATTGCCTGCATACAGTTGCAGGGTTATACCAATCGTTTGGTGTGCTTATCATCTAGAGGCATGAAATTTATGCATCAGTAGCAAAACAAGTTGGACGTATAAATTTGATTTGAAAGTTCCATTGCCCCATTCCATTTGTGTCTTATCAGCAGCAAAGTCCACCTTGACAATACTAAAGCATATTTCGACTTGACAAATCAACCCAACAAGGTCAAAATAAATAAAGTACAGAAATCTGCTAAAGCGTTGTAGTAAACTTACTGAGCGAGGGTCACTACCAAGCTTATCTATATACAATTAAGTCCTTGTTAAAAATAACCATTAATGATTTAACCATAATAACTGTATTGTTGTCAAGGCTATAAAGAGATCTCACGACAGAAAAACCACTGGGTTCTAGATTTCAGTTATGGTTGTCGGCTTATTAAAAGCATGCAGCATTTGCTCAATTACACGCAAACAGAGCAACATAAGAATTCCAGTTTTAAAAGATGCTTACAGTTGTGACTTGGATACCGAATATGCCAGTATTATTGTAAATGTTGTTGAATGCTGAAATTGAATGGACCTGTGGATACTCATTCAGAACACGGAGATCTGCACATGATAGGATGCCAGTCAAAACTATATATACAAGTCATTACCAGCTCAATCGATGTGTTTGCCATACCCCTAGCTTTAAGTACAGCCATAAAGAGATCAAATACTAAGAGATGACTTACAGAGCCGTGAATACATCCCTTTACCAGGTCCACCAGCTGAGAATGATCCACCACCTCCCAAAAGCATCTATAGCAAAGTAAGATAATAGAGTTATTTCCAAATGCTAAACCTATAAAAAATGAAAGCATATTTTAAAGAGGAAACTAAATTATTTAGGAACACTCAGGGCAATTTAACTAAGGAAAGGGGGAAAAAACATGGGGCACCTGAAGCATAAGAATAAAAAATAAAGAAAATAAAATTTAAACATTGTCAATACCTGCAGAACAGTTAAAACCATTGAATCCTTCAAGTTATGCCAGCCCCCAGGAAGTTCAAATGCAAGAGCAACATGAGTCCTCTGGAAATTCACCAAAAAAAGGTTAGTGCTAAAATAAAAATAGAAGCATTGAGTTTATATTAATATTTGTAATACTCACACCAGATTCACTTTGGCATCGATAATCACCACCAGTATACTCTGATTTTGGCTCCTCCGGACGAGGGGCACTGGGCAAATCAGACAAAAGAGGTTCTGCAATAGATAACAACTCCTCATGTTCAACACCAGAAGCTGCAAGTACCATCCGTGGTGCAGTATAGTTCTCCTGACGTTAATGAACCATTAAGGTTAATCAGAAGGTCATATATAGATAACAAATAACCTTCTTTTATTCAAAAGGCGTGCAAAAACACTGAAACTTATATGCTCAGCATCTGGGTCAATAATATTTCAATAAATGTGAAATACAAACAAAATTACAACAAGAAAATTAACATAATGACTTACAGCAACAAATTCCTCCAGAATTGTACTATTTAGTCTATTTATTGCTGATTCTGAAGCTAAAAGAGGATTTGCCAAGGCACCAGAATAACCAGCAGAATGAATAGCCTCCAGAAGCAAGTCTTGAGGATTTTTGGAAGCTTCACCAATCTCTGATTTCACCTTCATAAGCTATATATAATGCTATATTAGTTACAGCAACAAATTCCAGAAGGCCATGAAACATTTTTGTGGCACATTAGACAAGAATGATTTGAACTTATGTGAAATCTATCAGTATAACGTTCCAGTTTTCATCAACAAAAGTTAGGGAGAAGTACCTGCTCGTTGACCTCCCAATCAAGAAACACAGGATTCCTCACACAATCAACAAGTAGCTCTACCATTTCTGGAACATATGTTTTCAATGCATCAAAGGTGTAACCCATCTGCTCTCTGGAAGCTGAGGCCTGCACATTACCACCAATTGCTTCTACCTCACGAACTATTCGAAAGTGACTACGGTTTCTAGTGGTCTTGAAGGCCATGCGTTCCAGCAGATGTGTAGCCCCGAATGATAACGGTGTCTCATATATTGAACCACAATCTACGTATAAGCCTATTGAGGCAGCGGGAGTCTGAACCAGAAGAGCATGTGGAATAGGACTGAGTTCAATTTTGAAATTTAGAATTACAATAGCCCATATCAGATAGTACATAGCAAACAACTCATACCGCTGAACTTTCAGAGGCCACTTTAACACCATTTGGGAGTGTAGTAATTTTAGTTTTCCCCGGCTCCACATAATCAGGCAACGGAGGGGGAAGTTTGACCCCTTCCAGAGGGAAGTCCAGAGGAGGTGTCGCGCTGGATCGATCTGCAAGCCAGCCAAATATACCACCCAACCCAGATGAGGGTTTCTTTGTGGCAAGGGAACTTGAACTTGCAAATCTGGCTGGCACCCTATTCCATGAAGGGGCCTATTCCCAATGTTGGGAAGGAAAGCACCACAAAATTCCAAGCTATCAGACAATCAACTTAATTGAACATGAAATAAAAGATTGCGCAAAAGATTTTTGCACTCAACGAATCAAGCGATACCATGTGAATAAAAAAACAAAAACAAAAGTTTCAAAGGACTTAGTAATATGCTATGGAAACATAATATAGCACAGTAGCCACAACGTAAGGTGAATTTATCGTGTCCTGCCAACTCTAATGCGCCATTTTAGGAATTCCTTGCCTCGCATATGTACGAAGCCCAGAAAATCAGATGTATTGGTTGGAATCAGCAACATAGAAACAACAAATAAGTTGTCCATGGGAGTATTGCACGGGAAATGCATAATGTAAATACATATCACGATTGAATCTATGATTTCATAAATCTTCCAAGTCCAAACCATTGTTAATTGACGCGAAAGTGTATCAGAAACGTATGGAACTCAGCAAACAAGAATATCGAAGCGTGATCAGATCTAGCATCTGGAACAGAAGTGAAAAATTATGGGAAAAAAAGAGGAGTGAGGAGCGTACTAACCCTGCAAGACCTGAGGCGTGATGCGACGTTCCTGTACATGGCTATAGAGGCTTCGTTAAGATTCGCGTGGAGAAAAGAAGCTCGAGAGAGAAAGGAGAAGTGGCAGAAGTGGTGGTATGGAGCTGGAGAATTGAGACGCAGACTCGCAGAGCCAGAAACAACGACTGTGCACGTGTGAGGCTCAACGAAGAGCACAAGCCCAATAAGGCCCAATCCAGTTGAGAGTTGGACAAACCATCAACGGGGTAAACCCAATTCAAAAGATATAAACAAGGTTAATGCAATTTTGAGTATGATTTTAATCCTCATATTTTAAATTATAGATTTTAATCTTTCAGTATTTTTTATTTAAAATATTAGTACTTATAATTTTATAAAGGCTGAATTATTTTTTTATTGAGAGACTAAAACTTATTATTTAAAACTTGATGGATTAAAACTACAATGATGACAAATTTGAAGAACTAAAATTTATATTAATACATATTCTTGAAATATATGTATATACATACACATATATGTGTGTGTAAACTATATCGAACTCCCTCTGTCTTAAAAAAGGATATGTTATTGTTACATAAGGACTTCATGAAACGGTCAAAACTTTCTTTTACTAAAAGTGCTTTTGGTTTCATATAATTTAATTTAATTAACAAAATGTACAGTTTATAAGAAATATCAACTTTTAAAAATTTACTCTTCACGTTAAAACAAAAAAATAAACAAACTAAAAATAAAGAGAAAATTCCAATTTTATCCAACTAAAATAATTAAAACTAAATTTAGGCACACACCTACTTTAATTTTTTTTTCCCTGGCTATATTAAGGTCACTGACTCGGTTACTAAGGACCCGTTCGATTGCAACCTCCCTTCGTAGGGCAATGCATTGTAATGTAATTCAATGTGATGCAGCCTTTATTACCATGAGCATGTTTGGTATGATATTAAGAAGGTTGGTAATAATGTTATTTCTTTATATATTAAACTAAATAAAAAATATATATGAAATTACTAAATCGTCCCCATTAAAATGCCTTTTTTTCCTTCCATCCTCCAACACCTTCCTATCATCATCCACCCCAAAAGGAATAGTTTCAACGAGAAAGAAAGTACAGTGCATCATTATCTTCTTCTACCTTAAACTTAGTTGAGGATGCAGACTTTAATGGAGAGGGAGAGAATGTCGCTGATGGGAAGATGAAGAGGAAAGAGGCCGCTCATGGTGAAGAAGATGCATGTAGATCTATTCTGGTCCCTCCTCGATCTATTATTTAACAAACATCGCCATCTTCTTCCTTGAACTCAGGTGATGTCGTAGACTTTACTGGAGATGGAGGTGGTGGATGACGGCGGGGGAGATGGAGATGAAGAAATAGCAGGTAGTAGAGAAGACGAAGATATTGACCGCGGTGGCATTGATGGCTAAAAAAGGCAGAGATTATGGTGCTTCATACAAGAAGAGGGAGAGGCTTTTTTTTTTTTATGGGCAAAATAGACAATTTAAAACAGATTGCAGCCTTGTAATTAGTATTCATAGGCACCTTTTTAGGAATAAACGTTACCAAAAAAATGTGCAATTCTCGTCACCAGTGCAATCTTTATTACCATTAATAAGTCTAATCAAACGTTTTTTTTTATGGTAATGCAAAAAAAATTACCATTGCAAACCTGCAATGCGGTTGAACCAAATGGGCTCTAAGGGTTGTGGTGGATGTCATTTTTTTCCCAAAGATATTATAGATGTAATTAAAGCTAAAACGAGGCAAGCGCGAAGTTTCTTAGTCATGCTTGCTTAGAGTATAATGTTTTTTATGATTATTTAGTTAAATCCTCTCACTAAGTGTGTTTGGTAACTTCAAGTTGGTTAAAACAAACACCTTAGAAAAATGGTTTTCAAACAAAACTTTTTTCATGTAATTATTTAAAACTGCCATTTCCAGTTGTTAACATAAGAGTTATGATGACATTGAGTTTGGTACATAGGGGGTATTTAGATGAAAACCAAATCATAATTTTAAAAGAATTTTATGACATACAAAATAAACATGTAGAGAAATTTTTCTTTAAAAATCTTTTTTAAAAGCATTTTTGGGATATTCCATACACTCAACACTTCAATTTATTTTGTTTTTTATATTTATCTATTTTTTTAAAGTAATCTTTGTTGCATTTTTTTTCTAACCTTTATAATAGTTATATAAATTAAAAGTTTAATAAAATAATAGTTTTAGCTAATACACAAATAACATTTATTTATTATTATTAATTAATTTAACTAATTTTTATAATCTATCTAAATTAGTCATCACTCTATTGTATTAAAAAAAAAAAAAAAGGTCAATCTAAACAATCTTCATAGGCCATTCTCGAAATAAAACTCGGGAAACCAATCCGAACATTGAGCTTTTATGAAAAACAGTTTCTACCTTGCTTTTCAAAGAAATGTTTCACTCCGCTTCGTCAATTCTGCCATTGCCCTATCCGCTCTCACGCGCGGTTACCCTTCTCTACTCTCGCTGTCGCGGTCGCCATTCTCTACCCTCTCAGCAGTCGCCGTTCACCCTCTCCGGCGCTCACGCTCTCTCGGTGAGGCGTTATCCATTCTCGTTGTCTCAGATTCGTTTGCATTGTTGTCAGCGACTCAGCGGGTAGCTTCTCTGTTCTCTGTTATGCATTGTCTTTCCTTTGATTTCATTTTACATGCTCTGTTAACTTCATTTTTGTATGTTTCCTATCTGCCCAAATAGACCGAATAAAGATTTTGTGATTTATAATTAAAATTTTCATTTACCTAAGAACATGCTAATCAAAATTTTGACTTGCTCGAGTTTTCACTATGTGGTGGTAAATCCTATGGCTGGCTTTTCAATGGAGGCCCAATAGCATAGGCTTATCATTGCCTTGCTGCCGCTGCACTGTAACCATTGTTGTTGTGACTTTCATTGCTTTCACTTCCTCCACCACTGCTTCCATGTCGCTGCCACCACTACCATGACCATCGCCAGTAGGCATTAGCTATTTCATTAGTCCCTAATATCCCTGATATATCAAATAACTTATACCTATGTGTGATATCAGGGCTTTGCCTTCTCTGCTACATGCAAAATTCAGAGCTATTCAAAAGATTGGGTAATCACCAATTTTTTAGGGTCAATAGGTAATGACTGTTTTGTTGTTGGCATGATCAAAGTTTGATAGTTAACTTATATATTATTTTGCCCTATTTTATCAACAAGTTTTGTTGGCTAAATGATTATATATCCTTTTGGGAATCAAAAGGTGGTGGGATCAAATACCATCTTGGCCAACTTTGCCTAAGGTTGTTTGGTTGGTGTCAGTGCTGAAGCTCTGGCCACTGGCGGTAGGGCTGGTAAAACGGGCCAACCCGCGGGTTGCGGGTTGGCCTGTGGGGGGGTGCTGGCTCAAAAGGCCCGTTTTCTGGCGGGTTGGCAAAACACCAACCCTCCAAAATTTTTATTTTTTTTCTTGATTTTTTTTTTATTTTTGTTATTTTTTTTAAATGTTAGCAGTTATATATAATATAAAATAAAAATACTAGAAATGATATAAAATATTAGAAACATCCAAATAAAAATTACAACACAATAAAATATAAATAGTATATGATTGTCCAATTTTCCAACATGATAATACACAAGTTCACACATTTTTTTTCAATGAAACCAATGAGCAATACTGAATAACCTTCTTTATCTAATTATTTCTAATGACAATAAAGTTTGAAGTAAAAATTTGCTTTACTTTTGCCTTTGTTATCTTTTTTTTTTTAAAAAAAAAAAAGGTGGGTTAACCCGCAGGTTGGCGGGCCAACCCCCCGCGGGTTAGGGTTATGACGGTGCGGGTTATGTTTTTCAAGGTAATGGTGGGTTGGCTTTTGGCTAACCTTAACCTGCCATTTTTGGCGGGTTAGCGGGTTGGACCCGTAGGTCCAACCCATATTACCGGCTCTAATTGGCGGGGATGGCTGCTAGTAGCGGTGGCTTTTTTCTTTTCTTTTGTGTTTTCTAAAGTGAGAGTCAGTAAGGCCATTTTACCCAAATTTAAAATCCTACTCCCTCCGTTCCTTATTATAAGAGACAAATAACCGAATTACGTTGATCAAAAAAGCAGTTAAAATTAGTTAAGAACAATCAATGTGTAAAAAATATAATTTTTTTTCCAAAAATGCCCTCATTAATAAGGAAAGAGAGCATGAGAGAGAACAATTAAATTATTGAAAGAAAGAGAAGTGAGAGGGAGAGAGTGTGAGTTGAAGACAATAAATATGGGTAAAATAGGAAATCAACACAAAAAAGTAAAGACAAATTTTAAGTGTCTCTTATATATAGGAACATGCCATAAACATCAAATGTCTCTTATAATAAGGAACGGAGGGAATATTTTGGTAAAGGGACTGTTGTGGCATTTTCTGATCTAAAGAGACTATTTTTGTTTTGACCATTTTGGGTTTTTTTTTGGGAGTTTCCCTTTCATTTACCTTAAATAAATGATGATTACGGTGATGATGATAAAAGTTTCCTTATTTTGGGGGGGGCGGGGGGAAGCCTTGGCTATAATCGTTTGATTTGGAACTCTTCTAGCACAGAAGCGGAGTATGCGCATGGCGATATTAGGAGGATCACCATGGATAAGGATGGGAGCTTTCCCCTTTGAGGTTTCTGCTTCGAAATCTAATCTCTTGTACAGGCAAAGAAAAGTCCTCCAGTTCCAAAGGAGCTTTTCAGTCTCTGCCTTTTCTGTTCCCGAGCAGAAATCTGATGGAACAGTTCGTGTTCGATTTGCACCGTCACCTACTGGGAACCTTCATGTTGGTGGAGCACGAACAGCCTTGTTCAATTACTTGTTTGCCAGGTTGAATTCACTATCTGGCTTTTTCTGCTTTGATCTTTTTCCCTCCCCCTCCTATTTTTCTAATGTATTTTCAGGTCCAAAGGTGGGAAGCTGGTTTTGAGAATTGAAGATACCGACTTGGAGAGGTCAACAAAAGAGTCTGAGGAAGCCATGTTAAAGGATCTTTCTTGGCTTGGTCTTGATTGGGATGAAGGTATATGCTGAAATTCATACTTTACTCTTAATCTAGCGATGTATCAGTTTCTGAATC